AGACACTGGCATGGAACACACATTTTTCAAAATATGTTATTTACTTTCATATACAAGTGACAGGTCTGTCCACCTGACATGTGTAATTAATGCCAAGTACTTCCTCAATGGGAGACAACTGAACATAATGCAGAGATTTTCAACCTTGCAACTATGTCTTGGTGCCCTTGTTTAGAGTCCGGAATCTAGACAATTGAGTCATTATAGGCAGCAGGTGGCCAAGGGGTAAAATACAATAAAATTATAATTTCCTTCCTCTGGAATTGGCCTCAAAACATCATGGAGGGCCTCAAACGCCTAGGAGGACATATTTGTGTGGTTGAATGCCACACTTTTGGTTATATACCTGACTCAGGCTGAGCCAATTAGATTTTATTTCCTGGAAATGCGAATTTTGGAGAGTGGCCAAGAGACTTTGAGTTTTGAAACTGGGTCACATTAATGACAATAATATAGAAGGAAAGCTCTTGTATATTTTTGTGTGTACTTAGAGTATAGTTTTTTAAAAAGTATATTTCCAAGTTCCGGTCAAGATAGCAGGCTGGGTAAAAGCAGGTTGTGTTTCCTTCCATGATCGCATCACGATTACAACCAAATTATAAAACAAACAACTTGGAGAACCGCCTGAAGTCTAGCTGATCATAACATATACATCTGAAGATACAAAGAAAAAGCCACACCAAGACCAGTAGAGGGATGGAGATGCGAAGTGGGCTGGCCCTGCACCTGCAAGTGGCGGTTGAGCACCAGGAAGGATACTGCGGCTGCAGAGGCCCCCTCTGAAGGAACCAGGGGCCCTAGCATCACACAGGGGCTTCCCAGCCCAGAATTCCAGTCCTGGGAAGAGAAGTCCCCACAAAATTTGACTACAAAAATCAGTGGGGATACTGGCCATCTAGATGAGATGGAAGGAACCTAACAATCCAAGCATCCCTCTTAAATGGCCCGTGAAGACTCACTCGCTTGCAGACACTCACCTTGGGCTCCGGTGGAGGGTCAGCAGCTTGGGAGATGCAAGAGACATATGTGGAAAGACTGAATCATGTGGCATTGGAGCAAGGGCTGGAGGGACAGTGCCAGTGCTCCTTTGTCGAAACCCCCTCTGAGGCAAACTACAGGGTGCCATCTTGCCTATGTTGAACCCACCCCACACATGGCCAGTTCTGAGGCTCACTGGCCCAGTGAGATCAGCCCGTCCTACACTGCATGTAGCTGAGACCCCGCCCCACATAACCCACAAATTGCCTGCAGCCAGCCCATTGCCAGGCAGTCAGATCCACCCTGCACCTTCCCTGGGCCACGTATTGATGGGCAGGCAGCAGCCCTCAGCTCGCTGCTGCCCGCCCGCAGCCTGAATATTACGGGGGAGACTTTCAGTGGTGGGCCACTGATGCCAGCCTGAATTACAGTGTCTCTTGGGTGGATTGCTGGGGTCTGCGGACCCATAGTGGATGGTGGCTGGCCTTGCTGTAATATGTGACTTTTGTGGGAGCCTATGGGCTCAGCAATGGGCAGAAAAAATTGGCTCACTCCACCCCGTATCTCCCTCAGACCCCACAACAGCCGACTCACAAATTTCCTGTGGTGGGCCCATTGTTGGGCAGCCAGCCCCACCCTGTGCTTTCTCTGGGCCGGGAATTCGGCAGCAAATAGCAGTCCTCAGCTCGTGTGGCCCACGTGTGGCCCGTGCATCCCGTGAGAGACTTTCACCGGTGGGCCATAAGCCAAGTCCCAAGCTATAGTATTTTATGAACAGATCTTGGGTGTCTGTGGACCTGAGGCAGGCAGCAGCTGGTCTTGCTGCGATGTGAGACTTTTATAGGAGGCGCAGATTCAGCACTGGAACAAAATCTGATTCTGCATTGGCTGGGTGAAATCTTCATGCTTTACCCCAGTGACTCCCTAGGTCCCCACCCCACCCAACTCTTATACCAACCAAAGGCTCTTACAGCTGTAGAGATTTATGGGCAACTGGCAGACAGTCTCAGGCCTTGAGGTACACTGGTCTTTCTGCTGAGCCGTTGCAGGCCGGAGATTGGGGGTAACCATAACCAACCTTGGCTTGCAGTGTGGTCTCTCCCACTTGCCTCTGGACCCAGCACAGGCAGCAACCACTTGTGGATTGCTTTGTAGCTCCTACCAGTAATCCGAACAATCAAAGGCAGCGACTGATCTTGGCCTACATGGGAGCCCCTCCTAAGAGGCCCCAGAACCAACGTACCTGGAAGTCGGCATCAAACCACAACAAAGCACCATCTGACTAGCCCCATAAGGGGCACACCCAAAGGGTGGTCTCAACAGGTATACAAGCCTGCCAGAGCGAATCCTATTTCATGGGGTCAGCCCCCAAACAGCAGCTCATACCCTGTGGGTGTGGCCAAGCCCCATAGCCAGTCAGCCTGAGAGTCAATCCCATCCAATGACATGCTAACAGCAATCAAGATTTAGCTACAATAGGAGAACAAACACAACCACACAAAGAACATGCCCAGAGCCCCTGGCACAAATGATCAGGGAGACTGTGCCACTGGGCCACACAGGATACCTACCACATAAGGCCACCTGGCCAAGGCTGGGCGATATAATAAATCTTCCTAATACACAGAAATGAAAACAAAGAAGCAACTAAAATAAGAAAGCAAAGAAACATGCCACAAATGAAACAATAGGAGAAAACTCCAGGAAAAAAACTAAACAAAATGGAGGCAAGCAACTTACCAGAGTCAGAGTGCAAAACATTGGTCATCAGGATGCTCAATACGCTTAAGGGGAGAATAGATGGTCTTGGTGAGGACTTCAAAAGAGAGACAGTAAGCATAAAAAAGGACAAAGAAACCATGAAAAAGAACCAGTCAGAAATTAAGAATACAATAATTGAAATGAAGAATACACTAGAAGGAATCAACAGTAGATTAGATGAAACAGAGGACTGAATCAGTGAGTTGAATGACAAGGTAGCAGGAAACACCCAATCGGAACAGCAAAAAGAAAAAAGAATCAAAAAACTGAGGAAAGTTTAGGAGACCTCTGGGACAACATCAAATGTACCAATATCTGCATCATAAGGGTATCAGAAGGAGAAGAGAAAGTGTAAGGGATTGAGAACCTATTTGAAGAAATAGTGACAGGAAACTTTCCTTACCTGGAGAAGGAAAAAGACATACAAGTCCAGGAAGTGCAAAGAGTCCCAAACTGACCCACGCCAGGACACATCATCATTAAAATAACAAAGGTTAAAGACAAAGACAGAATCTTAAAAGCAGCAAAAGAAAGGCAGCTAGTTACTTACAAAGGTAATCCCATGAGAATGTCAGCTGATTCTTCAACAGAAACTTTGTAGGCCAGAAGGGAGTGGCACAAAATATTCAAAGTGATGAAAAACAAGAACGTACAACCAAGACTACTCTATCCAGCAAGACTATCAATTTAAACTGAAGGTGAGATATGAGCTTCCCAGAAAAGAAAAATCCAAAGGAATTCATCACCAACAAGGCAGAATTACAAGAAATGTTAAGGGGAATTCTGTAAAAAGAAGAACGTAAAAAACCAGAAATACAAGTGGCAATAATTGTGTACCCATCAATAATCACATTAAATGTAAATGGATTAATGCTCCAATTGAAAGACATAAGGTAGCTAAATGGACAAGAAAACAAGACCCATATATGCTGTCTACAACTGACCCACTTTAGATCAAATGACACACACAGTCTGCATATAAAAAGACAGAAACAAGTGTTTCATGTAAATGAAAACTAAAAAAACAAAGCTGAAGTAGCAAAACTTACATCAGAGAAAATAGACTTTAAAACAAAGGCTATAATAAGAAAGAAGGGCATTACATAATGACAAAGATCAATACAATAAGAGGACTAGTAACTATACATACACCCAACATAGACGCACCTACAAATATGAAGCATTTATTGACTAACGTAAGGGAGATATCAATAGTAATACACTCAGAGTAGGAAACTTTAACACCCCATTGACACCAATGGACAAATCTTCCAGACAGAAAATCAACAAGGAAACAGCAGTCCTAAATGACACACTAGATCAGATGGATTTAATTGATATTTTTCAGAGCATTTCACCCCAGAACAGCAGAATATACCTTCTACCTTTTGACCCAGCAATTGCACTTCTGGATATTTATCCAAAGAAAACCAAAACACTAGTTCGTGAAGATCTATGCACCCCTATGTTCACGGCAGCACTATTCACAACAGCCAAGATATGGAAGCAACCTAAGTGCCCGTGGAAAGTACATATATACAATAGAGTATTACTCAGCCATAAAAACATAAAATCTTATCATTTGCACCAACATGGATGGACCTAGAGGGTATTATACTGAATGAAATATCAGACAAAGATAAATACCCTATGACTTCACTTGTAAGCGGTATAGAAGGAACAAAAGAAACAAACAAACTAAACAAAAACAGATTCATAGACACAGAGAACAAACTGGTGATTGCCAGAGGGGAGAAGGATTTGGGAGCTAGGTGTCTGACCTGTGCCGGCACTTCCAAGGCGCTGGGCTCTCTGGCGGCTGGCAAGGCCCATGTGCTGACGGCACCAGTGGTCAGGCCCATTCTTTAACACCAGCTCTTAACACCGTTCAAAGCTCTTCATTCCACTTCTCAGAGCAAACCTTGTTACTCAATATTAGTAGCTTCATAAATAATCGATGATAAATGAGATTTAGGTTAGTGAAGCCTTCACGGTCATCAATGTTGTTATTATTCTTATGACTACGATCACCATCCTGCAGTTTGGTAGAGTCCTCACCGTGAAGGAGGAGCTTGTCTGGTAAGCGAAATTCCATCTCCACGCCTCTGCGCTTCTCGCGAGGGTTGGGGGCTGAGAGCTCGCGAGGTCTGGCAAGTCGGGGATAGAGGTGGCTAAGGCAGGAAAGGATCCGTCAGGCAGGGCAGGCAGAGGTCACTCGGCATCCCAGAAACCTTCCTGGCAATCTCTCTTTCAGTTAAATCTCAACTCTTTTCTTCCAGAACCGATGAAGGCAGGGCCCAGAAGCCTGAGGTGAGTCCGCTCAGCATTTGGCCCTGGTGCTGCTGCTTGGGGGGGCCAAAAGCCACCGTCAACACAGACCTGTCATGGAACATGTCCCCTTTCTCCAGAGCACATTGGGCGGGCCTTCTGTAGAGGAATCCCTCCCGTTGCTTATAGTTCCTTCTCCAGAGGTTTCCGAGCTTCGCTAGGTATGTCGGCTGTGATGAAGTAAATATGTCTCTATCCTCTAAGAAGGTAGATAGAGTTAACACTTGAACAAAGCTGGGGTAGGGCGCAGACCACCTGCACAGTGGAAGATCTGCATATAATTTAAGTCCACCTTCTGCCCACACAGATTTATCACTATCAAACCTTGCATAAGGCATGTTTGAACTGCCAGGGTCAGTTGAACTTCGTGGTTTAATTGAACTGTGATCAGTGGTACTGAGCAAGTCAACTGAAAAAACAAACAAACAAACAAACAAAACCCCATATATGAGTAGACCCTTGTAGTTCAAACCCATGTTGTTGAATTATGGCAAATATTCCACAGAGTGTAGGAAGTATTGTGAATTGGAAAGCGAGGACAGACACCAGCTTGGGAACATCAAGGAAAACATCTAGGGGAAACTTTCTGGATAATAGGAAGGAAAGAGGCAAGAAAGGGTGGGGGTTCACTTATTGGTTTTGGTTTTGTTGTTGTTTTGGAGATTTTATGACAAAATGCTCTCATCTGATGACTTCTCATCCCCCTGTGGTGGTCCAGCCCATATGCTCACTGAGTGAGGAATGTGAAGAAATTGTAGGGAAGTGAAATAATTTTTAGTACTTAGTACAAGAGAATTGACTAAGAAAACAATCATATAGGCTCCACCAAGACGGAACTTTGTTTATTTCTTTCACTGGTATGTCCCAAGTGCTTAGAAGAGTGCCTGGTACATATTAAACATGGAAGAAACTAATTTCTTTTATTTTTTTAAGCAATGTTGGAACTTGTTTTGGTTGGGGAAGAGAATACCAGGGCCTTATTCCACATGGGAGAAGGAAAATTACTCAAATACAGCTCCCTCTAGCCTGCTTGTTTCATCTGAAGAGTGAAAAGAAAAGAAAAAAAGCTCATAAACACTTGTGGGCATCACAGCCCAGGGACACAGGCCCAGGGAAAGGACTGACTTAATCATGTTCTCTCCCCGACCTTACTTACCTCTGCATCAACAGAGCTTCAGTATAGTAACAGGTGATAATAGCTGAAAGAAGGGCGAGGCATAGGCTCTAATTAAGGAGATTTAGGGAAACCTAAAAACACCACAGGAGAGAAAAAAATACTAAAAGAAAATGAAGCCTCCAACATATACAACAGTAGATATTAAACATGGTAAACACCTCACCAGAAAACATAAAACTTCATGCTAAAGATTTATTTACTCCAGTTCCTGTTACACAGTACATCGTGTCTGGCTTTTAGGCAAAAATTACAAGGAATGCTAAAGACAAGAAAAAGCAGTAGACAAAAGCAAGCATCAGATCCACACTTAGATTTGACACAGATTTTGGAATTATCATACATGGAATCCAAACTAAACACGATTAATAAGTTAAGGGCTATAATGGAAAAAGGAAACAACACACAAGATAAGGCATGTAAACAGAGAGGGAAACTAAGAATCAAAAGATAATGTTAAAAACAAAAAAATGCTGTAACAGAAACAAAGAATGCCTGGATTGGCTCATCTGTACAGTGTATATTGACAAGGAAAGACTAAGTGAAATTGACTATATGTAATAGAAACTTTATAAACTGAAATGTGAAGAGAAAAATAATTAAAAAAAAAATTAAAAAACCCAGAATATCCAAGAACTAGGAAACAGTTTCAAAATTTGTTACATACATGTAGTTGGAATAACAAAAGGTGAAGAAAGTGAGAACAGAATGGAGGAAATATTTGAAGTAATAATGGCCAAGAATTTTTTTAAATTAATGACATTACCCATAGATTATGGTGGCTCAGAGAACACCAAGCAGGATAAATACTAACAAAGTCTATACCTGGACATATAGTCAGACTCTAGGAAACTAGAAGATAAAATCTGGAAAGAATTTAGAGGAAAATGAGCACCCTCCCTCTTAGAAACAAACATAAGAATTATGGGCATCTGATCATAAACCATGCAAGCAAGCAGAGAGTGGAGTGAAATATTTAGTGTTGAAAGACAAAAGGAACACCAACATAAAATTTTATATCTAGTGAAATTATCCTTCCAAGTGAAGGAGAAATAAAAACTCTCAGAGAAATGAAAACTGAGGGAATTAATTAGCAGCATGACTAAGTGGCAATAAATGTTAAAAGAAGCTCTTTAGGCGGAAGGAGAATGATACCTTGAATCTACATAGGGAAGAAAGAAAAGGAATAAATGAAGATAAAATAAAACTTTTATTTTTCTTATTCTTAATTTACCTAATGATAATAATAACGACAGTGTATTGGGGTATGATGGTATGTGGATAAGGGAAATGAACGACAGCAGTTACAGAGAAAGGAGGGAGGAATTGGGAGCTCTGTTAAAAGGTACCTGCATTAACTCTGAAGTGGCATAGTGTTACATGAAATGTCTAGATTAATTGTACGTGTATATTAAAAACGGTATGGCAACTATTAAAATATTTGTTAAAGAAGAATAATTGATATGCTAAGAGAAGAGACTGTTTAAAACCATAAAAGGCAGAAATAAAAGAGGGAAAGAAAAAATAGATATAATGAAAAGTAAATAGTTACAGGCATGGTAGATATTAATCCAAATATGTGAAAAAAATCAGTAAATGTAAATGGGCTAAATTAACCAATTAAGTCAGGGACTGTCAGAGTGGATAAAAAAGAAGAACCAATTATATGTTGTCTACAGAATACCTAATGTAAATATAAAGATACAGATAGATTAAAATGGAGGGGACAGAAAAAAGTACACTATGCTGACACCAAAAGAAAACAGGAGTAACTATATCAGACAAAGCACACTTCAGAACAAGGAAATTTACCAGGGATAAAGAGAGGCATTACATAATAACAAAGGGGTCAAAATAAGTGAGGTACAAATTGGTAGCATGGCGAGGAGAAATAGACGAATTCACTGTTATTGGAAACTTCACTGCTCTATCAGTAAGGGGCAGATCCAGCAGGCAGAAAATCAGGGTACAGTTGGCCTAAACAGCACCATCAGTAAATTTGACCTAATTAACATTTATAGAATACTTCAACAACAGGATTCACATTCTTCTCAAGCTCACATGGAACATTCACCAAGGCAGACCACATTCTGGGCTACAAAACACACTGTAACAAATTTATAGAAGAATAGATGTCATACAAAGTATGTTTTCAGGCTATAATGGAATTAAACTAGAAATCAGTTACAGATAGGTAGCTAGAAAATCAAAAAATGTTTTAGAGATTAAACAACATGCTACAAACACATAGGTCAAGGAAGAAGTCTCAAAACAAAAAAGAATTTTAACCTAAAAGAAAATGAAAATATAACTTAAAATTTGTGAGATGTAGCTAAAGCAGTATTTGAAAAGAAAATCGATAGCATTAATGTATTTATTTGACAAGAAAAATTTAAAATCTCTGAGGGATTCTGGTTTACTTAATCTGATTCATGTTTGTTTCCAAAATACTAAGAAACATGGATTCCTTTTTTTGTTAGCTCAGTGACAGGAGGAGGAGCCCCACCCCACACAGGAAGGCAAGGATGGGAGTACATAGGAAGTTTAGCTGGAGCTCAGCCAGTGCAGTAAGGCTCCCTCAGATAAAGAAGGTGGGCTGCATCATCAAATTGCATTGCTGCATCAAGCAGCAGGGTATTGAGTGTGCACATTCTAGACCATAGTTGCAGGCCCACATCAGAGCTGTAACACAGACATTAAAGGTCCTTGAGGGTAGGGTAGGGGACAGCTCAAGGGAAATGAACCCACTACCCTTTCCTCTCTCATCCAGCCAAGCAGATCTGTCCATCCCTCCAGGATCCCTCCAGCCTACCTTCCAACTCCAGCCATTTATCATAACACATATTTACCTTAGCAAATTTTTCTATTTATTCCACCTGTTACCCAGATAGTACCTGAGACCTCTTTCACTGCCTGGTGATCTCCTTTTGGACCCCAAATACTCTTTGAAAGCCTGCTGTGCCTATGGATTTATGCCCCCAAATTCTACTCTGTCCTCAACTACAGCTTTCCCTTATACATAGTGGGTTTTTACCTGTATGAAACCAGGAATATACTCCGTAGCAGCCCCAACCCTACATCTCCTCCAAAGAATCCATGTTCACCAGAAAGCATGAGAGAGCAGAGTGGCCATTACCAACAAGCAGAAAGCATGACAGGGAGATGAAGACATGGCAAACCCATGGGCCCATGGCAAATAACGTGAAAATCTTTATTAATCCTTTTTCTCCCAACGTCCTTTTTAGGCTGTTCAGCACCTTCCACATTTGCTGTTTCCTCTTCTGCCAAATCCTTTCTCTCCCCAAAACATTTTATTTACAGAGCAATTGTGCTAGCCCACAACCTGTAGTACCAAAGTCATTTTGATTTTTTTAGGCAGTGAGTTTCTCTATAGCATATATTATAGTGAGCAGAATCGTAATTATATTTAGCAATACCTTTTGATTCTTTTGAATCACACTTATGGTTACTTCTTCCATGAAAAGTTTTTTTCCCCCCATCTACTTTATAACTTTTCACCAAATTTTCTATTGGCATTTGATTATTTTTTGAAATAACATAATTTTTGTTCATGGCATATATGTATTTATTTCATCTCCCCATGCTACCTAGTCATTTAATAGTTATAACTCCAACAGCTTCATTTTTTAGATTACAAACTGTTGAAATGAAGCTTTGTGTCATTTCCTTACTTTGCTTGCCTGCATTCCCTCGCCGAGTCTGAAGAATCAGTCTCGGTTCCAGACACCTAATCTTTTCCCTCCTATGCGAGGAAGGTTTACCAGTAATAAAAGTTTCATTCTTTGCCTGTCTTCTCCAGAATCCACAGCTGCACCATTGTCTCCACCCAATAGAAATGTACACTTTAAGACCACCCCCTCTCCATACCCTCCCTTAACTGCCAGAGGTGTCCTCGTTTAGAAAAATCCCTCCACATATCTTTACATCCTTGATATTTTTATGCCAAGTCTGGCTCTGAGTGTCCCTAGGGCCTCTAGGACTCTCAACTGTAAAAACATCCTTAACGGCTAAGTAAACTAAGCTCCATCCATAAAATTTCCAGGTGAGAAGGGATATAAAAATGGCACATTGACTATATTCTTCAAAAATGGCCTTGTCATAAAAAGGAAAGGCTGAGCAACTGATAAAGATTAAAGGAGACTAAAGACACATGATAACTAAATGCAATATGTGATTCTAGAGTGGCTCTCGTAATGTATGTTTAAAAACAAGTC